GCTCTCCAAAATCCCAGAGGCCTGGTGGCTCCAAGACGCAAGCTGTAGTCATGGCACTGGGCTGGGGACAGAAAATGTCAGTTTTCTCTCAGACTTTCTGTCCCGGGCTGTGCATTGACAGGCAGGCCTTTGAGCGCTCGCCCGTAAAAGGGCCATTACTGATTTTATAGGACTCTGGTGAGGGTTACAGAATGAACACTGGTTGCCAGGTAAAACTTGGAGTTCAGATTACTCTAACTCTCCTTCTCTGCTGCTTCCTGTGCGTTGTTGAATATGCCAGCGCACGTGTCCATTCGCCATGCTGGTGTCGTTGCCAAGTTCCGGTGCCCCTGGTCCCTTGCACACTCTCTTGGCCAAACCTGTTAAAATCTTACCTAGAGTTCACTTTACTTTCCCATAATGGTGATCCCAACCCATGGCTGCATTTTAAGTTCTCAGTGTCCCTCTGGTCTATGATATGTTTTTTTTTTTTTTTTTTTAATTTTTATTTTTTTGAGAGGTTTTCGCTATAGGGCGTGTGCACTTGCCAGACAGACAGAGACAGACAGGAGACAGAGAGTGAGAAATCACCCCCCAGGGGGGATGGCCACACCGCAATCCCTTCTCCTCCATTCTCCTCTTGGGATCTTGGGCACGCACGCACACGCACCCGCACCCGGTGTGAGTTTTAAGCCACCCGGTCCGGGACATGAACCGCGGTCGATTACGTGGGAGTCCAGTGACATAGCCATTATGCTAACTGTTGGTCCCCTATGAATTGGTTTTGTTTTGGATTATACAGAAAAGAAAAACCCAAACCCAGGGAACAGCAGGTGGCATGGTGGTTAAGACATTGGACTCCTATATGGCCAACTGAGATTTGAGTCCCAGACCTGGCGGCTTGCTTTCTTACTTTCCCTCTCTCTCTTTTTGTCTCTCTCTGGTGAGCTAATGTGCTATATCGCAAATTTAAAAAAGAAAATAATAATAAATAAAATTAAATTATATATATTTTTAAAACCCCAAAAGCTATTAAAAAAAATCTGCAGCACATTATCAATTCTCTAAGGAAAAACAGAGTTCAATGAAATATTCCAGAATGTACGAAGGGGATTTTCATTCCTTCATGCTTTTCTATGTTTTTCAAATGACCCGTTAAGCCTGTATTGCACCATGTTTCTAAGATAATGGAAATAGCAAAACAGAAAATCTAACATTTGTGGCGCTACCACCCACCCGCCAGTTCATCCCCCATTTCACCCCAGGCGAGAGGGGCCCTGTCTGTCTCTGTATCCAGGGCTAAGCCGATCACCTGTGGTATTATTAGCTTCGCATTCTCCTGACTTCTCAAGGAGCTTGCATGTCATCAGCTAAATTTTCCCCACTATGTTCAACCTTTCACTTCGTTTTTGTCTTTTTTCCTCAGTATGCTAATATGTTTGAGTTCCCTCTGCATCTTGGCAAACAGACACACTTCCCTGTAAGCCCCAGTTCCCAGCTCCACTCTCAGTCTCGAGACCCTCCTTTGACAGCCACGGCTCTAGAGAGAGCAATCTGAGTTCCCAGTCTTCGCAGCGGAACATGCACCTTGTGCATCTGGCTTCTCCTCTCCTGGAACCCTTAACACCGCACTTGCCAACAGCTCTGATGATGCCATTGTCTCATTTCAGTCTTTCTTTAAAAAAAAAAAGATTTTTTTAGGAAGTTTACTGATTTATTTATCCCATGAGCCAGAGAGAGAGAGAGAAAGAGAGCACCTCCAACAGAGTTAATGCTTGATCCGCCTCCAGCTTCAGTCGGCCTGGATCATGGGCACGCATGTACCCAGAGTACTCAGGGAGATCTTCAGCATAAACCCGGAACCTTCCCATGTGGGTCAGCTCAGAGCCTCACCGTTCAGTCCCCACGTCAGCCCTTCATATTGGGCTTCTCAGAGCCATTGGACGCTGTTGGCCACTTTCTCCTTGAAACTCTCCCTCCTGGTTCCTTGGCACAGTAGCGATGAGTGCAGTCGACATCAGATACCGTAAGGTACGTGCCGTACCTACGTCCAGGTAGTGTATGTGACCTTCATCCTAACATGAAAGGAGACGTCTCCACGTCTCCACAATAAAGAGGAGAAATACGATTCCGAAGCTGGTGTGTGGTGACATGGCTCCAAACGATGAAGCACGGATTTGAAATCCAGTCTTTCTGAATCTAGAAGCCATGGCGTTTCCTCCTAGGGCATTTCTCTTTGCCAGTTTCCTTTCACATCTCTGGTCGCTCGTTTTCATCTTCCCCTGTGCGCTCACCTTTTATGGAACCCATTAACATCAGGGCTCTTCTGGACTTTGGTTTTGGCCCTTTTCTTTGCCATCCTGTTGAACATCCATGAATTCAGCTACAGCCCCCTCCAGCCCAGCTCCTCCCTGGGCTTACAGCCCACAGGTGTGAGGTGTGAGGTGTGAGGTGTGAGGTGTGAGGCGGTTCTATCTGTTTGTCCCGCGGGTCCTTCTCACTTGCTGTCTACTGTAGGGGTCCTTGTGGGGGTCCCCCCATATTTTCCCATCAGATTCTGGGCTCCTACTACCATTTGAGTGTTACTCAGTCATCCTCCCTCTCTCCCTGTCCTCCTCATCTGAGTTGAGGTGCTATCGTGGAGCCTTGTTATGGTTCACCTGGACATACATGGTTGTTCTGACCACTTCTCTGATGTGGGTTTTGACCCCATCTGAGTTACTCGCAGCTTACTTCAAGAATGGTCATTGGAATACAGCAGTTCCATCCTCTCTGCCCCGACTCAGAAGCTGCAGTGGCCTCATTGCCAGAGATGCAACGTGGGCAACCTTCCGTGGTCTCCTCTGCCGTTACTCTTCCTCACGCCTCCTCTCTCTTCCTCTCCAGTGTATTCCACACTCCTACTATTTCAGGCAAGACCGACTCCTCATTTCTGTTATCTCATGCCTCTCTGCACTTAGTCGTTTGTGCAGGGTACTTTTTCTGTGCTGGTCCATTAGGCAGATTCTGTCTTATCTGTTCAATGTCAGCTCAAATACTGCCACTTGTATGAAGCCCTCCTGGTTTCTTCCAGGGAGGACTCAGATGCCTCTTTTCCCGTATTCTCCCTGCACTTTGTATAATTTTTTTATTGTACTCTAATTGTCTATTAAGTTGTTAATTTGTTTTGTTTTGTTGCTTTGTTTTGTTTTGTTTTTAGATTGTAAGATTCTTGGGGCAGGCCCCATGACTTTTTAATTGTGAAAGATAACACATCTAGAAGTGCCGTATCCAAAATTTAGGGATAATGAATAAACACAAGGTAAACACTGTGTTATTATCATAGTCCATTTGGGCCACTGTAACAAAATTACCATAGACTGAATGACTTATAAATCACAGGAATGTATTTCTTACAGTATGAGGTTGGGCAGTCCAATATCACAGCACCACCCAGTTCGATGTCTGGTGAGGACCTGCCTGCTACTTCATAGATGCTGCCTTTTCTCTATGACCTCACATGGTGAAGGGGGCTCTTTCATAAAAGTACAGAGCTCATTCTTGAGGCCTCTGCCCTCTTGACCTAATCGCCTCATGAAGGTCCCACTTCTTAATACCATCACTTAGGGGTTAGTGCTTTAACATATGAAATTTAGGGGAACACAAGCATTCAGACCATAGCAGTAACTATTACTCAGGTCATGGGATAAAGTGTTTTCAGAACCAGAGGAGCACTCTGTACCCCTACTCATCTCCCTATTGACTTGTATGGCAAATACTTCCTGGCTTTTCTTCATAATTGTAACCTATATATGAATTCCTAAGCAATATAGTTTAATTGGTTCTTGAACTTCATGCAAATTATGTTATATGTGTTCCGTTGTATTTGTTTCTCCAATTCAACATTGTCTTTGTGTGATTCATCCACATAGTGTATGTAGCTGCATATTACAATATCGTAGTACTCCAGTATGTGAACATACTGCATATAGTGTATCTATTAATGGGCATTTGGTTTATTTCCAGCTTTATGGCCATGATGATGCTTTCAATAGTGTGTACACTTCTTGGGACCAGCAGTTAGCGTAATGGGTATGTCGCTGGACTCCCATGTAGCCAACCGTGGTTCAAGTCCCGGATCCGGTGGCTTAAACTCACGCCAGGCACATGCGTGTGTGTGCCCACGATCCCAAGAGTAGAATGGAGGAGAAGGGATTGTGGCGTGGCCATCCCCCCTGGGGGGGGTGATTTTTCACTTTCTATCTCTCTGTCTCTCTCTTTCTGGCGAGCACACGTGCCCTGTAGCCAAAAAACAAATAAACAAACAAACCAAACCAAAAAAAACTCTCAAAAAAAAAAAAAAAAGTAGTGTGTACACTTCTTCTGGTACCGATGTGCATGGGTTTCTTTAGGGTGTAGAGCCAGGAATGGAACTGCCTGTCACAGAATGTATTAGGTGGTCAGGAAAGCCATGACCTATTTTCCTATGTTTTTCAATGCAAAAATGGGTTATGACTTTCCTGATGACCCAGTGTGAGTCTTCAACTCTATCAGATAATGCCAAACTCTTTTTCAAAGTAACTGTCAGAATTTACAGTGTTGAGAGTTCCCGGTGCTCTGTGTCTTTGCCAACATGTGCTATTGTCAGACTCGTAAATAATTACCGGAAGGATTCATGTGTAGAGGTTTTATTCTGTATTTCCCTCTTAATGAGACTGAGAGCCTTTTTGGTGTTTATTGGTCATCTGGATTTTTCTCTTTGGTACATGACTTATTCAAGTTTGGCTCGATTTTCTAATTGACTATCTTTATTTTATTGCTTTGTAAAAGTTTTATGTGGACTCTGCATATGAGCCCTTCATTGATTATGTGCATTGGAAGTAATGTGATACTATAAAATCACACACTGAAGATTTATTGATTACAGTGATTTAAAAAAAATTCTTTATCTTAGTATTAATAAGCTAGTAGAAACAGAATAATGAGGAAAGATGACCAATAGTCTACACTAGTTCTAATTAATCCTCTTCTCTTTTCTCTAGGTGTTATTATCGTTCCCAGTGCTGGTGTTGGCATTGTCCTGGGAGGCTATATTATTAAAAAATTGAAACTTGGTGCCAGAGAATCTGCAAAACTAGCAATGATTTGCAGTGGCGTGTCTTTACTGTGCTTCTCAACGCTGTTTATTGTTGGATGTGAAAGTATTAATCTTGGGGGCATAAACATCCCTTATACCACAGGGTAAGTACTTCTGAAAAGCCGTGTCATGTCAGCATGATTGAAGTGCAAAGCCCTGAGGTGTCTGTGCACCAGGCTCCGATGTGTGCCCTCCCTCCCAGCTGTTTTTGCTATGTGCTCTCTCTCCAAGGGGAATGGATACTCCGGGACCCAGCGCTCACCTTCATCTGTGTCTATTTTGACTTTTACAGAGGGACTTTTGTAACGTTTTGATTACAGAAGGTGAGGGGGGAAACACTTGTTGGATTAATGAAAACTATTCTGTTTTAATGTAATGTTTAGAATAGTTACACTTTCACATAGTTTAAAAACATAAAATTCAATGGAAATACAGTGAACAGTGAAAAGTCTTGCTCCTGTACAAATCCTTCATCCATCCACGTCCTTCCACTCCTTCAGCCAAAGATCAGCCAGGTTGTTGGGAATGTCATGATGCATTTTTCTGTTTTTCTATGCAAAAAATGTGTCATGACTTTCCTGACAACTCAATATTTATTTCTTGTGTATCCCCTTCCATGGCTTCTTTCTACAGCAAACTGTGACTATATGCTTTAAATTTCTCCTACTTTATATCTAAAGTATAGTATTCTATACACTTAAAGGAACTTAAAAATAGAATTAAAGTATGAGTTTATTTTGGTGCAAAACATGTTTGAAATCCATGCATAATTTTTTCACAATGTGTGTTTCCATGAACTTTTTCAAGGTCCTTTGTATTCTTCTTTTTTTTTTTTCTTGGAGAGGTTTTTTGCTATAGGGTGTGTGCGCTCGCCAGACAGACAGAGAGAGACATAGAGACAGAAAGCGAGAAATCACCCCCCAGGGGGGATGGTCACGCCTCAATCCCTTCTCCTCCATTTTCCTTTCGGGATCTTGGGCATGCACGCACACACGCCTAGCATGAGTTCTAAGCCACTGGGTCCGGGATGCGAACCACGGTCGACTACGTGGGAGTCCAGCAACATAGTAATTACTCTAACTGCTGGTTCCCAAGGTCCGTTGTATTATTCTGAGAGTTTTTTTTTTTTTTTTGTAACAATATACAATATAGCATGGAGATCTACCTTAGTCAGCATAGATGTGTATTATATTTAACTATTCTTTATGTTAACCTTTAAATTAACCTTTGTATTTATCCTAACACATGCCAGGCATTCTTCCAAATGCTTTACAGGCATTAACTCATAAATCCTCGCAACAACCAAATCAGGTCGGTGCTATTAGTATCTTGACACTACAGATGGCAAAACTGAGGTACGGGGCCAGCAGGTGGTGTGGTAGTTGAGGCACTGGAATCGTTCATGGCCAATACGGTTCAAGTCCCAGACCTGGCAGCCTACTTTCTTACTTTCCCTCTCTCTCTGCTGAGCACATGTACCCTGTAGCAAAATAATAACAATAATGATGATGATAAATAGAATTAAATAATTCTTTAAAACAAAACAAAACAAAAAACAACCCTGAGCAGTAGGCCCCATATAGGTGGCATGCTGATGTTTAAGAAATTACTCTCTAAAGAAGGGGAAAAAAAAGGCCTAATCTGTAGCATTTACCAATTTCTGAGACATAAATACTTCTGTCATGGCTGATTTCAAATCACTACCTTGAAGACATTGAACAGTGAGTTGGGAGGAGAAGCTCACTTCCACACCATTAAATAATATTTCCACCACAAGATATAATAGACCTAAGTAGAACAAATGATTGCCCAAAATCTCTGAAAATTTAACAGTAGGATCTTGTGATCCAGGGTGTCTGCCTTCTGCACAGCATTACATGAAACCCAGAACTTAATGACAAGCAATTTGTGATTAAAAGTTGTATTTAAGAGTTTATGCCCTTGGGGCCACCAGGTGGCATGGCGGTTAAAGGCACTGACTTCCATATGGCCAACCATGGTTTGAGTTCTGTACCTGATAACTTGCTTTCTCATTTTCCCTCTCTGGTGAGTGTGCATGCCCTATAGAAAGTTAAATCATAATAATGAATAAATAAAATTAAAGAAATCTTAAAAAAATAAAGTCTATGCTCTAGTATAAACTTTAACAACTCTAGCATTCTATTTTATTCCACCTTTTAATTTGTCCTGTTCCCATTTCATAGGCAATTGGGTCATTTTTTTTTTAGTTTGTTAAAAACAATGCTATAATAAATAACCTCAGACATACAAGGGTACTTTTAAAAGTTCAAGGATAAATGGGATGAAGTACAAGTTTATTTTGGTGCAAGATATTTTTGAAATCCATGGATAGTTTTTCAGAATTTACATTTGCTGAAGATCTGTGAGCGCTCAAACACTGTCTCAACATGATCTCCCACTTGTCTGATGAACTCGTGGCTCCATCCCCACCCCTCGGAGTCATCCGCGTGGGAACCCTGAGTCCCTCTGCTTTAAACGGGACATGACACATCCCAGGCTGGCTGTGCAGCTGTTATCCTGAGAGTTTCATGTGCCTCTTTCGTTACTGATTTTTTTTTTCTGGACCCTGTGGCATCCTCTCTTTTGGTTTATCCCTCATTGTGATGGAGCACACCCTCTAGTAGCTATAGGAAGTGTGTATAGGCTGTAGATTTTGAGGAGGTGTTTCTATATTTATACATAAAATTTAATATTTAATTGTTACACTTGACTGCCAAGTTGGCTGAGTAAATAATTTTGGGTGAGTCATTTTCACTCAGAATTTGGGTTTTGCTCCCTTGTCATCTAATTTCTAATGTGAAGTCTGGTTTTTCTATTTCTCAATCCTGTGTATGTAACCTATTTTTTCTTCCCAGGAGCTTTTTTTTTTTTCCTTTGGAGAGGTTTTTGCTATAGGGCGCGTGCACTCGCCAGAAAGACAGAGAGAGACAGACAGACAGAAAGTGAGAAATCACTCCCCGGGGGGATGGCCACACCACAATCCCTTCTCCTCCATTCTCCTCTCGGCATCTTGGGCATGCACGCACATGTGCCCAGCATGAGTTTAAGCCACGGGTCCAGGACTCGAACTGCGGTTGACTACATGGGAGTCCAGCGACATAGCCATTATGCCAACTGCTGGTCCCCTCTTCCCAGGAGCTTCTATTTATTCCTAGTATTCCAAAGTTTCACCATGATATATTTTGGGGTAGGTCATTTTAATTTTTGATGGGCAATTGGTATCTCTTTATGTCTAAAGACTATATTCTTCAAGTCTCTTTTTATACTTTATTTTAATTTTGCTTATTTTTTTTCTTTCCACCATTTTTCTCTTTTTCTCTCCTTCACTGATTCTCTACTTTTCTTACTTATTTATTTTTTATGAGAAAGGGAGCATGCAGGATCTTGTCATAGCATTGCAGTTCACTAGGCTGACAGGCACAAGTTACCACACTCAGACTATTTAGATTTGACTGGGAATTGAACCTGGGCCGCCATGTGGTTTCAGCCATTGTGCAGAAGCATCCTCCTATTTGCACCACCATGACTAAGTCAACTCTTCTTATTCTTATTACCTATTTTATATATTATTTAAAAATATTTTTTGGACCAGCAGTTGGTATAATGGCTATGTTGCTGGACTCCCATATAGTCAACCGTGGTTCGAGTTCTAGACCCGGTGGCATCAACTCATGCCAGGTGCGTGTGTGTGTGTGCCCAAGTTCCCAAGAGGAGAATGGAGGAGAAGGGATTGTGGCATGGCCATCTCCCTGGGGGGTGATTTTTCACTTTCTGTCTCTCTCTCTCTGTCTTTCTGGCGAGCACATGCACCCTATAGCAAAAACCTCTCAAAAAAAAAAAAAAAGATTTCTTTCACTTTGTTATCCCAGTTTTTTTGTTGAGTTACTTATTTTGGCAATCCTGATTTTAGTTTCCAAAGTTCTCTGTTGATTTTTTTTTTTTTTTAAAGAGATTTTTCCTACAGGGTGTGTGCACTCTCTGGAGAGATAGAAAGACAGAAAGCAAGAAATCAACTCCCATCCTCAGGAATTATGGCCATGCCACAAACTCTTCTTTTCCATTCTCCTCTTGAGATTTTGGACACACATGCATATGCACCCAGTGTGACTTTCAAGCTGCTGGGTCTGGGGCTCGAACTGTGGTTGGCCATGTGGGAGTCCAGCACCTTAACCATACTGCCACCTCTTTTGATTTTTGATTGTCCCTTGTTTCTAGATTTCTTGTTTCACAAAAAGATGATCTTTTCTTACATCTCCAACATTATTTGGTTTATTTTACTTTCTGAATTGTTTTTGTGTTCTTTGAGCTCCTACTTTTTTTTTTTTTTTTTTGTCCTCATGAATTGATTGTGTTAGAAGCTTCTCTCAAATTTCTGGTGATCCTTTTATTTCTCTTACTATTGAAGAATGAGGGTTTGAAAAGCTGAGTAGTTGCCTGCATGTGAGGGAGGGTTCCCCACGGGGAGATCTCACTGTAGGGGCGAGCTCACTGTCAGGGCGGAGTGGATGTAGCTGACATTTTCACTGGGGAGCTCCAGTGTCAGGACCTGAGTTCTCATCTATGAGGTGGTTATCTATGAGTTCCCCCAGGTAACGATGCTCCCATCTCATGGCTGGACCCGAGCTTATAATTATTATTATTAGTTTACTTTGTTTTCATGCCCTGTATTTTCTCATTTGAATTTAAGGGTCTATTTTCTGTTTGTTTATTCTGGGCCTTGCAGGTTGATGACACTCAGCCTCATATCTCTTGGATGACGTCCCCATTCCTCACATCCCTTTCAAACACAAGAATGAGGGGGTTTTACTCTGAGCTCTCCACGTCTAGGTAGAAGCTTAGCTTTTTTAGTTTCTTCCAATTTCTTCTGAGAACTTCCTGATTAGTTCCTGGGTCCTGAACTGTGATGGGGCAGGGAGGTAAATGAGAATGGAAGAGTTCACTGTGGCTTCCCATTTCTCAGATTTCCAGGGAGGGCCTTTGTTTTCCTCTCCAGACCTCACTTTTGCCTCCTGTCCCGTCTGCTGATTGGAGCTCAGAATCTGTGGAGACTGTGTGGAGCGGGCTGGCTTGTCTTTGCCCCGGG